ACATGTGCAGTTTGTGCAGGTTTGTTACATAGGTATACACATGCCATGGTGGTTTGCTGCATCCATCCCACTGTCATCTACATTAGGTATTTCACCTAATGCTATCCCTCCCCAGTTCCCCCACCCCCCTGCTCTCCCACCCCTAGCCCTCCACCCCACAACAGGCCCCGGTGTGAGATGTTCCCCTCCTGTGTACATGTGCTCTGTAAGTTGTTTGACATTCTGAAAATATTTCTTCCTCTACTTCTTTTGAAGAAACTGGAGACTTGGAGATTAAGGCTGATAAATCATCTACTTATAATATGTGTACAGACTACAAACTAAACACATTGTCATTGTTTTCTTGAAAGTGTTTTCACCACTGACAGATAGAAAATACCATCCCCCCCCGTGAAATCTCTCTTCCCAAAGGGAGAACTATTGAATGAATGTGAACAAATCCCTAGAACTTTCCTAAGAGACCAAGATGGAAGAAACTCTCATCTGAGTGATTGAGTTTCCTGCAGACTTCACCTACAGCTTTTCTCCCATAATTTAGAAACATGGAAAACCAGAGCCAACTCTAAGTCTTTATTTATCATTATTATTATTTGAGATAAAGTCTTGCTCTATTTCCCAGGCTGGAGTGCAGTGGCGTGATCTTGACTCTGCAAACTCTGCCTCCTGGGTTCAAGTGATTCTGCTGCCTCAGCCTCCCAAATAGCTGGGATTACAGGCATGCACCACAATGCCCAGCTAATTTTTGCATTTTTAGTAGAGATAGAGTTTTGCCATGCTGGCCAGGCTGGACTCAAAACTCCTGACCTCAGATGATCTGCCTGCCCCGGCCCCCCTAAGTGCTGGGATTACAGGAGTGAGCCACTGTGTCTGGCCTATTGCCACTTTTTAACTAAACTTGAAGGCAGCAGGATCTTAAGTCTTTAAATATTCAGGAGAATTCAGTTCAAAATTCAGGAAAATAATCTGTGTTTTAGTATTTGATTAGAAAACATAATTGACTTGAAAACAAATGAAGAAGACCTGGAAATATAGTCAGATATAAGTACTCAATCTTTATATTCTATTTGAAGTCTCTTGCTTCAAACAGATAAAAATATTTAGCAAATTTAGTAATTTTTATAAAATTAGTAATGTAGAAAAATCAGGACACACTGTACACACACACACAAAAATCTCTTTACATAATTTATTTAAAATTTATTGAGTTTCCTGTGCTCTTACAAATGTAACATTCTCATATACAACATTCATTGAAGAGGCACAATTCTTATTTTGAGGTGGCACAGATTAGACAAATTTTTCAGTGAATAGTTCCTCTATCATTAGGAAATTTAACCACAAGCTGTGTTTCTGTAGAAAGTTGCTTGAAATTCTATTCCTAATAAAATTTAATTTTCTATCTCAAAATGACCGTATGCAAACGAACAGTACATGACTACTGTCTTCATATCGTCTATTGTAAGCAGAGTAATTTCACAGTGGAGGTTTTTTTTCAAGCAGAAATTTTAAAAATATATCATTTTCAGGGAAGAATTGACCTGGATTAAGAATGTCCTGCTAGACCTTATTAAGAAATTGTCAAGTAGGTGATCAAGAGTGTGCTTTGCCACAGAATTTCCCTGCAGGCTTCCCTTCCAGCCAGAACCTCATCAGTCAACTGAAAAACTCCCCTTATAGACATAGACAAAGCCTAAGAGGGAATGGAAGGTTGGTGATTGGGGTGGGGGGAGGGGGTCGGGGTACTGATTCTTGGCTTTGACGAGTAAACTTCTGGTTATCTGGCTGGTTAGAATGCCTCCAGGAATGCATTTTTATATTCTCCGGCTCAGCACAAATCTTGCCTTTTAGGTTTCAGAGTTCTGTCCTCTCCACTCTTTATCTCCATATTACAGTGCTGGCATTAGGACGGAAGTCAAGAAAGTGACAAAGTGGCAAAGCGAGTCACAGGTCACTGAGCTCTAATTCGTTTTGGGTTCCTTTTAAAATATATTTTTTACTTTTTTTTTTGAGACAGGAACTTGCTCTGTCGTCCAGGCTGAGGGCAGTGTTGCAATCATAGCTCACTGTGGCATGGACTTCAGACTCAACCCGTCCTCCCATCTCAGCCTCCTGAGTAGCTGGGACTACAGATGCGCACCACCATGCCCAGCTCAGTTTCCTGTTCTTGAACTAGACTTTCCTACTGAGTGTCATATGAAAAACAAAAAAGGCTGAGGCACAGGGATAAAGGAAAGAGTATTTAGCTGACACACTCTCATCTTAGTTCCCTATCTACCTTAAAATGCCGTGGGGGCAGAGGGTGCTTGTTACAATGAAGATTCTTGGTCCACACCCTAGATCTGTGGACACAGAGAGGAATCAGCCTGTAAACAAACATCCAAGATGATTTCACGCACCTGGGATACATCCATATGCCCCCAAGAAGCAAGATCCCTGTCCCAGTTACAGAACCTTCTTTTCCCCCTGCCAGATTCCATTTCTACTGTATTCATTCTTGCCTTGTTTCTTCATTAGCAGTTGATGTTATTCATTCTGTATGTAATCTTGTCTGGAAAGTTTTCTACTTTTGAGCAAACTTTTAGGCTCTGGATATAAGGAATAAGGCCGTTAGGCTCAGGATATAAGGAATAATCTTTCAACATGCACAGCTGCCAGTAGGTTCACTGGACACTTCCATTTCCTTTGCTTTTTTTAAAACTAGGTTTAGTAACTTTGTTTCCAGATGGGGAGTAAGAACATTAGGAGAAATGGAAAAGCAGTATTCTTGAGCACTGGGAGTTTCAAATGTTTGTGACACAAAAGTGGGTTTCAGGTGGGGGGATGATAAATCAATCAGGATAGGCTATTTCCCTGATCATTATCATCAAAATAACATTTCAAGAGCAGTCATTCTCGATCCCCACGACTTTGTCAGAGTCTTTCATTACACACCAGAGAAAAACACTTCCCAGGTTTCCTCAGTGTCACCACCAAGTGGTGTTACACCACAAAATGTGTTAGCATTATTTTGGACTCCCAAAGCATGGAAATTAATCTATTAATTTACTTGGCCATTTTGATATGAAAAAGAAATTATTGTTTTCTAAGCATTTCAAATCTAAATTTTTAAATATATTTTTTCCATTTTTGGGGGAAAATCTAAAATTTTTACTAGGCTACCAGAACTAGGACTTAATGGGATTCTTTCTCTTACAACATGTTACTACTTGATGGTGGATACAGGGGTAATGGAATGGGAGGGTACATATATGAACATGGCCTCCTAGAAAAATCCCATATGCAATAAATATAAGAATATATATTGACTTTTAAAAGTAACAAAAGCAGATCAATGGTTACCTCAGGATGGAGGATGGAGAAGAATTACAAAAGGGCAGGGGAAACTTGTGGGGGTGATAGATATGTTCACTATTTTGTCAAAGGTGTATACATATGTCAGAATGTATCAAGTACAGTTCAAATATATAAAGTGTATTATACATCAGTTATATCTTAAGCTTTAAAAAGAATTTGAAGCTGGACATGGTGGCTCACACCTGTAATCCCAGCACTTTGGAAGGCCGAGGCAGGTGGAACACTTGAGGTCAGGAGTTCGAGACCAGCCTGGCCAACATGGTGAAACCCCCATCTCTACCTAAAACACAAAAATTAGCCGGGTGTGGTGGCACACACCTGTAATCCCAGCTACTCGAGAGGCTGAGGCACGACAGTCTTTTGAATCTGGGAGGAAGAGGCTGCAGTGGGCCGAGACTGGGCCATTGCACTCCAGCCTGGGTGACAGACCAAGACTCTGTCTCCAAAAAAAAAAAAAAAAAAAAAAAAAACCAAAAAAAAAAAAAAAAAAAAAAAAAAAAGTACAGCAATATCCATAAAATTAACAAAAAAACTTTAAATGACAAAAAAAATTCTAGCAACCATCTTATTAAAAAAAACTAAACAGATGAGAATAATTAAGGGAAAGTGCCTTATTAACTATTTTATTAAAAAACTAAACAGATGAGAATAATTAAGGGTGCCTAAGATAAAAGTAATAGTTTTAGCATATTCTTTTGTTAACAGTATTAAGTTCAATTGCTTACCTTATGAATTAAAAGTTTTAGAAGAAACAGGTAGAACACAAATAAGTTGATACTTTATGAAAACTTTATACCTCTTTCTACACTTGCCTTCATTTCTATTTGGGAGGAAGAAATGGCTAGAAAAAAATTTGCAGAAAATAAAAACATGTTTGTCTTATGTTTTTTTCCCCTACCAATTTGGAGGTACCAAAGTAACTAATAAAATGTATTTATGTGGTAGTATAGTAATATGTACTCCATGAAAAATTAATAGTATTCAATAGGAGGCTAACTGGTTTCCAATATTGAATGTCTCTGAAACTGTGCGTAAATATTGTAAATTTTACAATGACACAGTGCAAAAGAACATACATGTATATCTATGCCTTTCATTATGTTAGGAGTAAGGTTGGGGAAAATGAACCAAATCAGATGTTGTTTTGGAAAACAAAAGGATGCACATGACAGGAAGTTCTTTTCCATTCGAGTTATCTGTAAGCTGCCTTAATCATGAAATCTCATTTGCTTGAGATTTTGGACATGTTAGTTGATCACAGCAATTTTTAAAGATCTCATTCTTCTTTAGATCTCATTTTGGAAGAATTAAAGCTAAATCTTTCTTGGACAATTTGCCATCTTCTTTAAAAGCAAAGGCTGCAAAAAAGGTCTTCCAGTTCAGTAACAAATTTATGCTCTTAGAATTATGTATTAAACAAAGGTTTAGTTTAACAGAATGATTCATGCAATGTGTCATTTAAACGTATAATTTTATAAAAGAAATCTGATTGGGACTTAGAGGATCGAATCTTAGTTTGGATAGCAGTATTTCTAAATAACTGGGAAGCTTTTGGGGAAAAAAATCCCCAAACACTTTAATCTTAGCTCCATTTATATCTTTCTTTCCATCTCTCCCCAAAATAACATTTCTAGAGCACAAAATATATTCATAATTGTTTAATTAGATACATTTTATATATCCTGAACATAATAGCTCCCATAGAAATAAACTAATATTTTGTACATAAACTTTATTTACTGTGTCACATTCATAATATACTGGGCCAAGTGCAAACATTTATCTCATCCCCCAGTGTGTGCAGAGCTCTGCTCCCACAAACACCTCATTATCTAGGATGACACAGAACAAGATCAGACAAAATGGATAATTAAAATCCACAAGATAATAACAAAAAGGTACTTTATGATTATAAACTCTTCTCTAGCTACAGCTGGAACCAGTATATAAGCAAAACAATTTAATCAGGTTTTCCTCCCTAAATCCAGCCCCCATGCCACTACTCTTTGGGGCAGGATCTAATAATTGATTAGTGGGGTCGCTGAAAGGCCTAAGGTCAGAATAATCTAGAAGAAAAGATTTAGAAAATTGACACCAATATTGAAAATCCCTTGGTTTTTCTTGCCCAGATAATTGCATTTTTTCTTCACATATAGTTGATACGTACCATTAAAAGTTATCTTAAATGATATGTACCATTAAAAGTTATCTTTACAACGACCTGAAAATTATGGGGTAGGTATTTTAAAAATAATCCATGAAAAAGAATGACTTCATTTAAGAAAAACAATAAACTAACAGCAAAACTGGAAAGTAAGTCTGCACTCTGGGTGGCAGCACATGGAATCGATGAGCTTCTGGTCAGACTCTGCCAGTGCTGGTGTGTGCCATTGATCTGTTCAGTCTAGCCAACTCCTCAGAATCATCATCACTTATTAATACTCTCCTTAATGACCATCTCCAATGAGATGGAGCAGCTTATGAATAAACCATGGGGGAAGTATACAGGCATACTACATCCTTCCCTATCCTAGATCCTTTTAGGATAAAACAAGAAAGTAGGCCTGAAATAAAAAGATCTATATAACATCCTAAGGAATAAATCAGGTCTTATTAAGAGAATGATCTAATATTCTACCCTTTTGCTATTTAGTCTTGAAAGCCCAAATACTACATAGATAAAAATTCTGATAGGGTAAGTCTCATAGTTTTATAACCACCACGTCAATAAAAAGTAAAAGAGAAAAGGGGATGACACCATCATACCAATGAGTATTCCACAGGAAATATGATTATTAGTGAATTGGGATATTATAGGAATAGTATCTAAAACTTAACTGAACACTTGAATTGGAATAATCAGAATATCTGAATCCCAAATTCTAAATCTGGATATTATCAAATGTGGTGATTTTAATTAATTTGACATTTTTCTCATTCTCATCTTTTAGTCCTCATCAGAGTGTCAGGCTAGCTCTGACCAACATTCACTCACCTGATTTGTACCACGACCTTACTGCCTGGTAAAGATCCTTTCTACTATTTTTTCTTTTTGTAATTATAATGCAAATTGCTAGGTATAGTCATTGCTTCCCTGATGGGTCCTGGGTCCTCTTCCAGCTGCCTGACTGATTCCACATCTGATGGTCAACTGATGTCTCCCTTTCCCACATCTCTGCTTGTAAAACCTTTACTTGCAAGATGCTTTTCTTGTGTTTAGGCTATTTTGAGACTGTTCAGGGAAGTGCAAGTAAGTATAGACCAGAACCGCTTTAAATAGTATTTAAAGCTTTACCAACCATAAGAGAACAGACTTCCATGCGGAAGTTAATAGGATTCTAATTAGAATTAAAGGCATGTATCTTCAGATGCAGATAAAAGAACATCAAGATGAGTGAGCAGAAAAAGAATCAATACCAAGGAAAAGATTTTACTACCACAGGGCAAGCCACCTATGGATTTAAAATGGGAATGAAAGGAATAGAGAGGGTATTGTTGACGCAGAATGCTTAGATCTGGTGATGGATTTGAGAATTTACCTGAGAATGAAATTCCATTCTAAACTAATGCAAACTGTACACATAACATATAAAAACTCAGATGCAAGGGAGTAGTTTTAGATAACTAAAAGATTGCTCCATCTAGTGGAAACTTCAGAGTTTTCCCTTACGCGCTCATCAGCAGTTTTTCATTTGATGGTTTATTAGCCATTATTAGGAAGGCTTTGCTGAGGTGAAATGACACTAAAATCAACACCTCGTAATAAAATGTAAAGTGTCCATAACTGTATCAGAGTTTTAAATAACACTTAAGTTCTGATGGTAAGATCTAAGAATAAACATCTAACTAAGAATAAAATATATGTAATTTTATAATTCCCTAGGAAAATCTCTGAGGAGATTTTTTTTAAAAAAACATACAGGCATTTATATAGTCATCTACGTGCAAAAACTCAGAAATATTGATGCAAGTTTCCTGCGAAAGCCTCTGTATATTAGTGGAGGAAACACAAATCCTGAAGTATGCAAAACACACTTCTGCTTCCTTGCTTTGGGATGGATAAATTCCTTAGCTTAAGTTTTATATCTCTGCCAATAGCAAGGTAAATAAAATGTAGTCATGTACCATACGGAATCACTTGATGGAAATTTGAAATATGATTTTGCATAGAATTCATTTAAACAATGCAAATTTAAGCTTCTAGCATTCTTGCTTCTGTTCTCAGTGGAATTCAACTAGTACCAGTGGGGTGGCCATGGGATTGAGACGTGGATTACATGGTGCTTCACTCAATAACAGTTACATTTATAGTACTACTAAGCCCACACAGGAATTCCATATGCTTTTTGTTATTTCCTTTTAAGGTTTTAACATGGATGACAAATGTCCAAATCAAAGATAGATTTTTCCAAATAATAGGGCACACTGTGAGGTTAGGTGGAAGAGGGATGGTTTATTATCTGGACGCAGGACAGGAAATTAACGAGCAACGTGAATACAGAGATTACTTAGCACACCTTTTCCTTCTTTCCCTTCAGACATACGATATAGTAACTGACTTATCAAAGTAAAGCACGTGTTGTTCACTTTTAAAAAATCCATTTAAGTTAGTCTCATAATTGTTCTGATTGAGAAAGTGAATCATGCCATGATTCAAAAAATCTGTTCTTCACATAAACCTATGGGCACACATTTAAAAAATGATTTATTGTACATCTTTGCATTTCTTAAGGCATGAACAATGGCATACAGATGGAACAGGTTCTGAGAAGCATCACATCTTTTCGACAAGGCCAGCACAATCACACCACATCAAACAGACACACTTGAAGTCTGCACTGACCGACTGCTGTGGCCCAGGAGTCCTGCGACAGGGGATGGTGCTTCCAGACAGCGGAACACCGCGTGGTTTCTATGTTGTTGTTAACTCTCTCGATCAGCTTTAAGCACCAGTTACCATTTGTTTTTCTGTACAAACTCTTCAGACTTTGGATTTTATATTCTGCTCCTTTTATTCTGCTTTCCAAGGAGGGTATGGGTTTTTTTTTTTTTTTTTTGTTTTTTAAGGAATATGGTTGCAGCAAAACAGAAGGGATCCAAAAGTGGCTAGGGGCCTTGTCTAATGCACTTCTGAAAGTCCATTATAAAGATGAATAGAAAAGCAAATGGTAGGTTTTCAGTTGACCCAGAAATCACACGTAGCTATAAGAAACATAATTGTGCATAGTTATTTATTCATTCAGAGTGTGATATGTTGGCTAGCTCTACATTCCCAGTCTACCAAAGAACAGGGCTGTCTACTTTGCTAAACCCAGGGTCCTTTCGAAGCTCCCAGTAGGTGTCGTTAGAAACCCAGGCTTCTCTTTGATTGGCATCAATAACTTTTCTGTGAAAATATAAACATCAGCATTAGTCACAAATCACATCAAGGTAACCCTATAATAGGACCCTCTCCTATAGATTAGACACCTCAGATTAATCTGTGTGATATATACATAATCCTGAAAATAATCCTGTAATAATCGCCTACTATCATACCACAGAGAGACCAAATCTAAACACACACAAGCTTTGTGTGATAGAAATAACATAAAATCCTAATAAAGCCAGGATGATCTTGTGGGCTGTGGGGTCTGGTTCAGTCTGTGGCTAAAGGAGTGGGAACCAGTTTCCACCATTCTAAAGAGTGCAGCTGAAGGACAAAAAGCCTTCTGGGTGGTATCCTCACTCTTTTCTGCTGCCCATAAAAAGACAAGAGCTGTAGAAAAAAATTCTTTTCATAGTTACTAACTTCTCATAACCGCAAAATCTGTTTCAATATTTTCACTGCCAAAAGCAAAGAGGCCAAAATCCATTTATCCATTTGCTTTTCATGTACCTGGAGCTTCTCAGTGCCTGTGGCAACCATTTACAAAATATGAACTTGCTATGGGAGTTAACTGACTTACTTAAAAAATTTTGGTATATGTTCAAGATTATTTTCTTCCATATATCGTCTCCGAGATCTCTGGAGTTCCTCTACTCTTTGCTTCTCTGATGCTGCAGCTTCTAAATTTCCTTCTTCCAAAAATCTAAGCAGAAAGCAATTGATATTTGAATATATTATCATCTTTTCTGGGAGAAAAAAACTCATTTGCACAAAATTGCTTTCTAATTGCTATGAACATAAAATACCACACAGTAACACACTAGCGATGTCACCTCACCTTTGCCCCAGGCCACGCTACCTCTGTCCATCAATTTACATACTTTCTAGGTACATGAACTAAATTATTATAATCAGCAGTATCAGTGAAAGGTGGGTGGTTTGACCTTGAAGACTTTTCTGTGCTGTCTGGGGTTCTATAACTTGAGATTTTCAGGACGACTGCAGAGTCCAGGGTGAGAAGAGCATGAAGTCATAGCCATGTTCCCTTTCTATATTAACAGAAGGGTTTTGCTAAAAGGCCATAGCATGGAGGATGATAACTGGCTATTCTCCATCTATTCCAAGAACAGACTGAGAGGGAAGGAGCTTTCCTGTTTTACTGGAGAGGGTAAAACTGATATGAAAAGAAAAGGTAATGGGGAAAATTATAAAAGGCCACAGAATGGGAAATGACTAGTAAATGAAATTCAGAAAAGGAATACTGATATAGAATTGAGAAGAAAAAAGCAGATGGAATAGTGACTCACAAATGCTTACATTTCAAAATGATAACAAAGAACAGGAATATAATGTGGTATACATTGTACAGGAAGTTTATTAATAAATGTGAATGTCAAATAGTGAGACAGCATGTTCTAGAGAGAGAGGGGAGAATATAAGAGAAAAAGTAGAACATTCAAAACTGAGAGCATTTTGGCATATGGCAGATAAAGCCATAAATATATGGGAAACAGAAAATTGATATTGAGTGGAATTTGTATGGCATATAGAATTTTTGGAAAAAGTAAAATGAATTCCACAGGAATGGACATCATGAGTTCAGGACTATATAAGAATAAAAAACTGGCTGGGTGCTGTGGCTCACATCTGTAATCCCAGCCCTCTGGGAGGCCAAGGCAGGTGGATCACCTGAGGTCAGGAGTTCAAGGTCACCTGGGCAAACATGGTGAAACCCCATCTCTACTAAAAATACAAAAAAATTAGCTGGGTGTAGTGGCACATGCCTGTAATCCCAGCTACTCGGGAGGCAGAGGCAGGAGAATTGCTTGAACCAAGGAGGCGGAGGTTGCAGTGAGCCGAGATTGGGCCACTGCACTCCAGCCTGGGCGACAGAGTGAGACTCAGTCCCCCCCAAAAAATAAATAAAATAAAATAATAAAATACTAAGAGTTAGGAGGTATTAAAGGTACTGCATTTTGAGTATATCTCATACTCTGTGAGATCGAAACCACATTGGGCAAATTGCAGACCTGCACTCAAAGCGTTTCTGGGTGCCCCTGTAACTTATCCTGTTGGTCTTCAGTTTAAAAGATACTCCATGTTACAGAGTTATAGAAGTAAAAAGGTCAAAAACAATGGTTAAGGAGTGATTCTATATTTAAGAAAGAATTCATGCATTTGCAGAACTTTGGTACATTTTAGGAGGAGAGAAAAACTTTCTGTTAAAAACATCTCTGTTACCTTTTATGGGGAACTATGTGCTGATTTGTTATGGTCATTCTATGAATACTGCTTTTACTTAGCATAGAAACTCAAATATTGCTGAGTGAATAAGGGAATGAAGAAAGGACTGAATTAAAATATATGATGGTAGTAAAAATAAGTCACAGTAACCTCTAAAGCCCCATGCCATAATAGTCTGCCTTTTTTTTTTTTTTTTTTTGATACGGGGTCTCTTTCTCTGTTGCGCCAGCTGATGTACAACAGTACAATCATGGCTCACCATGGCCTCAATATCCTGGGCTCAAGAGATCCTCCCGTCTCAGCCTCCCTAGTAGCTGGGACTTCAGACATGTACCACCACATCCAGCTAATTTTTAATTTGTTTTTTTAAAGATACAGGGTCTCACTATATTGCCCAAGCTGGTCTTGAACTCCTGACCTCAAATGATCCTCCCTCCTCAGCCTCCTAAAGTGCTGGGATTTCAGGCATGAGCCACTGTACCCAGCCAGAGTCTGGATATTAAATATCACTGCCATCCTCACCTTTGATCTGGCCGGAATCGGGCGTCTGTTGATGGAAGGAGATCTTTTAGTACTGGATCTAACTCATTGAGCTCAATAGCAAACCTCGTGAAGCCATAGTAAAGCTCATAGTTGGTTGGCATGGAACCTGGAATGAGGCCAATGAACCACTGTGAGAGGCAAAAGGTTTATGAAGTTGGAAGAAGCTGACTTACCCCAGTGCTTAATACCCACACTAACACCAAATTTGTAGTCATAAACACAAGATTATAAATTTTTTCAAGTGAATTAACTTGGTGATATTTTGCCAGGCAGGAAACTTCATGTTGATGATCACAACTGACAGATTCATATATTTAATACAATCTTGTCTTTCAAACAAAGCTGCACACATAGTAGTCTTCATTAACTAAACTACTCCATATTTCTCTTGAATATTCAATTGGTTAGCTAAATACTATGGTGATTAACTACGAACATTAAGATTTTACCAGAAACACTTGTTTGCCTCCTTTTAGAAAAGAAAAATATGCAGATCTAAATTTATATTTATTGCCTTTTTTTTTTTTTTTGAGACGAAGTTTCACTCTTGTTGCCCAGGCTGCAGTGCAGCAGTCTCTTTTAGTAGAGACTTAAATTTCTCCATATTGGTCAGGCTGGTCCTGAACTCCCGACCTCAGGGGATCTGCCCACCTTGGCCTCCCAAAGTGCTGGGATTACAAGTGTGAGTCAACCGCGCCCGGCCTTTTTTTTTTTTTTTTTGAGATAGAGTTTCGTTCTTGTTGCCCAGGCTGGAGTGCAATGGCGCAATCTCAGCTCACCACAACATTTGCCTCCCAAGTTCAAGCGATTCTCCTGCCTCAGTCCCCCAAGTAGCTGGGATTACAGGCATGTGCCACCACGCCCAGCTAATTTTTTGTATTTTTAGTAGAGACCGGCTTTCTCCACATTGCTCAGGCTGGTCTTGAACTCCTGACCTCAGGTGATTTGCCAAATCCCAAATTGCTGGGATTATAGGCGTGAGCAACTGCGTCTGGCCTATTGGTACTTTTAAACTAAACTTGAAGGCAGGATCTTTGTGTGTCTTGCTCATTGATATATCCCAAGCTCCTGGAACAAAGCATGATACTCAGCCAACACTCAATAAATAATTGCTGAATAAATAAACTGGCCACTCTTCTAGCAGGAAATTTAAATACTCATTGATTAGTTGTTAGGAAACTAACAACTAATTTTAGTTAGGGATTAACTGTTTCCAGTGACAATAAATGTCATGTGGATACTTGTTCCATTTATACTTGATATTCAATTATATGCTAATGTGTTATCAGAACTCTTTTGATGTCTTTTATTAAATGTTAACATATTGCCACCTTTTGAGGCTCAAGTGAAAAGATCACTTATTCTGGTGAGTTACTGAATTTGTAGATCATAAATGTTTATAGTCTGTTTTATTAGAGCAGAGAATAAGTAACATAAGGATTTAAGTTTGTATACTTCAATTATCTAAAGTCTTTAATAAATATACCTAGCTTTTCAAATGTAGGCATTACACTTTGAGCAATTTTTCATCAAGCCCAATCTCTGGCTACATGTCAGGGATTTGGCCTACATTTTTTATTATGAAATATCAAATATTGGGGCTTATGTATAACTGATATGTTAAGTGTAAATGCAACTCTAACTGCCTTAAGCGTCTACGTTTTAAATCTCACTCTTAAAGGAAACTTAATATGAATTTCCTGGGATGACCTGATATTCCCTTCCCTTCTGCTGTCCATGGCACCCTCCTGTTGGCAGAATACTCAGGCCACTCTCACCTGGTCTCCAAATACACTTTGCAGAGGGGGCCACACCGCAGAAGAGTCCTTCATGCCACTTTCCAAACAGCCGGTGCACCACCTTCCCCTCCTGATCTATCACCACTCCCTGGACTTCATTCATGTTAGAATTCCAATAATTCACCTGGAAAAACCAAACCCCAATCATGACATTTGATTGCTTTAATAATACCATTCCCTATATTTTCCATATAGAAAAATTTTTAACCTTGAAGTCCCTTATTCAAACTATTTTCAGAAATACTGAAATCTCAAAATGTTTTATATGGAGGGTTGGCTTTCTAAAAGTTAGCCTAACTTTCAAGAAAGGGATGGTCTCTATGCCATGCATAACATGATAGCATATCACAGAGAAGGCTCAGTTTCTATCTAAGAGCCTAATATTAATTTATAGGCTAGCAATTTTTTTTCCTCTTGTTTTGACTTTCCCCCTGAGGGATTTTAATAGATTTCAATTTGCCATGCTGCAGACATTGTTTGTGAAATAATTTTCATAATATCTATAAATGGCTAAATTTTATCAGGAGGACCCTCATGTGGCCCTTCCGGTTATGCTCCTTCTCAAGGGATGAGAAATCTATGGAAGTTTGCCCACCTAGACCCCATGATCCCCCCTTCCAGGTCAGGCCCCAAGTACACAGGGCACTAGAATTCCTTGTCCAAGTGGATCCAAGCTTATTCCACAGCTGGCATAGGCCTTTTCCTTGGACTCATGCACCTGAGGGCAGATTATCCACCAGCATGTGCACCTTTAGGTCTGAGGGATGGCCAAGGGTGGCTGTTTGTAGGGGTGTGAACAGAGCTTCGATGTGTGGGCTGGCCTGTCTACATACGTGGAGGCCCCTTGCAGTGACAACAGAGCCAGAGGTGAGAAGAAAGCAGGGTTGGCCAAGGGCCAGGACTGGCTGTCCTACACTGCCAGGGTGACAGCACAGAGTTCTGAAGGGTCCAACCTGGCCTCACAGGTTTTATTATAAAAGTGTATTTGTCAAGGAAAAGAAATATAGCATATTCTATTTGATAGCTTACAGGCTTGATTTATTTATTTCTATTAATTATACAGGCTCTGCCAGTGTTAGAGACAGGACTGCACTGCAGTTTCTCATAGCCTACAAAGCCAGATGTACGTATTTATGTCATCATCACCCAGCCAGGGCACATGGTGATGCTGCCTTTTCAGTTCTAGGTACCTTATGAGTCTCTAAGTAAAAAGGTAGTAAAAAAACATATCAGGCTAAAATAACAATATTCAGTTAAAATAAACACAACCTTCCAAAATGGCTTAAAATGATTTAACTGAGAAAAGAAAATACTAGGGTCTTAAGACTCCAATATATGTTACCTGTTTACCATATTAGAATGGGATCATGAGTTGAACAGATAAGGTGGCTGGGTGGGGTTTCTGTACCACGTTAAATTCTGTAGCACATCCACACAAACATGGTGGTGACACTGTATGTTCCCCTTCAGAACAGAGAGACTGAGGGAAAATGGTGCTCTTTGGGTATTTCTATCCCAACATCTTTTCTTGTAGATGAGGCTAATATTTCTCGTTGAACTTATTTGAGTTACAACAGTGGCAGCGTTGGGTAAGTGTGTAGTGACTGGTGGTGATCATCTACATGGCTACATCAAGTGTCTTCAGAAAATGACAACCACATTATAATGAGCTCCCTAAAATCAGATCACTTGAATATATAATCAAGCAGGAAGAGAAATAGAAATATAAACCAGAAGACTTTGGTATAGTCAAGAAGTGTTTTCTGGAATTTTACTTGGTGAATGACTGACTGGCTACTCCAAAAGAAAATTCTTTAAAAAGAAATGTGTTTTTTTTCTGTTTTGAGATGGTGCCTTCTTTGACCATCACAAACTTGTATGCCTTTAGAAACTCCATCAATTGGTTCTGCTTTCTTATCTAAAACATCCTTAAGGACCAATGATACAGGACAGATTCACTTGCTGCTATTTAAGGTGATTGTTCTATTTCTTCTTTAAGAAGCATTTAATACTCATTTTCCTTTACTGTTGTATGATAGTATTTACCTTGACAAATGTGAGTTTGCAAATGCAAACACTGCTTTTGGTATTTCTAATGGTTACTTCTCCATAATGTTCTATCCATCTTCTCCCACTGAGGATGTTGTGTATACAAGTGGTGACTTTATTCCACACATAGTAATCTCCGTACCTAGTGAAGAATGTAACATTGATTAAGAACAACGAAGGTCACAAATACATATAACTGTTTCCGCTAATGAGAATATTCTTTGGCCAAAGCTTCCTTTTCCCTCATTTTCCTCTCATTTCTGTCTTGAAATTTCCTCTGTGGTCATAAGTATTTATGACACGGTTAATTCACTTAAGCAACATTTAAGCGTGTTCTGTGGGCCGGGTGCTAAAGCTGCAAAGTGGAATAGGGCCTGTTTCTTGCTTTTCTAGAGACAAAAGTATGGGAGGGGTAGATGGATATTCAAACAGATATTTAAAATAAAATATGCATATCATAGGAACACAGAAGGAAGTTTTTAGTCCTTCAATCTGCCTGGAACGTGGGATATGGATCAGTCAAGGAAGACACCTTTGAAGAGGCTGGGTTTGATGTAAGCACGGATGGCAGGTAGGAGGGCACTACGGCCTGGGAAAAGCATCTGCACAGCCACAAAGGTCAGAAGAGAACAAGGCGTCTGGGGCCTGTGAATGCTGTGCTCTGGGGGAGTGCGGGTGGCAGGATGCAAGACAGGAAAGGTGTGATGAGGCAGAGCCGGGAAGGCCTGCAGTGACCTACCAAGGAGTCTGGATTCACCCTGCAGGCAGTGGGCCACCGCAGGATTCCAGGTAGGAGAGAGGCACCACAGAGTGTGCATTTAAGAAAGATGCTCTGGGAACACTGTTTCCTACTCCAGGTTTAAGACCTCAGATGTGACTAATTCCTTGGGAAAAGACTGAGGGGCATACTAAGATGGCACAAATCTAATACAAATTCTGGGGAGCAAGGTCACAGAATTTCTGCTAAGGAATGAAGTGATACAGCTTCAAATCACATTCAAATTTGTACATTACATATATTTTCAAATGAAATGTTATGTCAACATAAAAAAGATGCTTCTAAATTGTTGCAAAGTTTATGAATTGGTATGATGTAGGCACCATATATACCTAGGAAAACTCTCCTCCTTATACATTTTCAAATACTCAAAAAGTTTATTTTGTGGTCCTAGGAATAGCTTCCTCTCCTCACCTTCTTCCACATCCAATTCATCTGCAAATTCTGTCTTTCAAACAGATAAAACCAAAACAAACCAAATCAAATGAAGAAACAACCAAGCCCTTGGCCTCAATAAAAATTCCAATTAATTTCAATATATTTACAGGCAGTATCCTCTAGAACACAACCACAAAAGGATTTCATCACTCCTCTTTGATAACTTAGAAATTTAAAATACTCCCTGGATCTAAGATGAACTCAAAAGTGAAATTGAATTGTATAGCAAGAAAATGGTTAAATAGGAGAGCCTTTTATATAAAATCAAACTAGCATGGTGACTGGGCCATGGGAGGTACCTAGTGGTGTTGACTGAAGAATGGAGGCTGTGAAGAAATAAATAGGAAGCTTTGCTGCATATGCTTAAGTTCTCATTTGTTTTTGTGAGGGTCTATTCTCAAAACTTTGGCAAAGGTAACAGAAGCTTTGGGTATAGAGAAATGAACCCTTAGCATCTTCTAGAGTTTAAAATACCCATTTATGATTTAGAAAAGCAGACGGGAGGCCAAAAGGGAGGTGTGAGTCACCTACTTTGGAAGCATGACATTCAGTGTTCCAACAGGCAGGATTTCCATCGACTTCCCCCAGAACTTGTTTTTCCATCTGATATCTAAATGACATAGGCAGAGGACAAGAAATACATACCCCATCTCTAATCACTTCTTCTGTAAAAACTAACTTTTGTATTACACTTTACAAAGCACTGCTGGAATGACAATTGATTCCATATTGTTGATTTAGAATGACAAGTGCCTGAAAATGGCCCAAGGTGAAAATATTAACTGTGAACCAAAAAAATAAAAATAAAAAAACCCACTATCTATGTTTCTCTATCATACATGCTCTTAATTTGTTTTCAACTAACAAATTAAGAAGCCTGGGAGAAGCCTGAAATTGTGTATGTGTGTGTGTGTGTGTATTCACATTATACATATAAACATAGATTCTACTGTACTTTAATGTCCAGACAGCAATAAATGTTGTTACAAGATTTAACTAAGCGGTAAAAATAGTTAACAAATATATCAAGCATAAGATGTATACTAAAAATAACTGCAGTGTGGTGATACAATTAATTTATATATATACATTTTCCCCCATATCAAAGACATATAATTTGGGATTACAGTTTTTAAAGTCTCTAAATACAGATAAAATAAGATTTGTAAAATAAGATTTATGAGAGAGTAGGATGAACTTAATGAACGTGTTCCTACACTGCTTGTTAAGATATAGGCCAGGGCCCAACATTTGACCTCACACAATGGCTTCATGTTTTACGTGTGGAAACTTAGACTTATTTGTGCCTTTGTGATAACCACCTAGTCCCATTTTGTTGAACTAAGGGAACTTTGTGCCATCTCTACAAAATCCCTGACTCTTGGTAATGACCAAGAAACGATCTGTCATATTTTTGCAATAATGTCGTACAGCTACAGTGTTCTATCATTTTAATGTATTTTCAGGTTAGGAAAATGCTCATAAGAGAAGTCATTCTGCGAGTAATGAAGCACCTTTCCAAACATGAAGGAACTATTTACACTTAATGGTCACATTTACATAGATATTCTTTTCTTTGTAAAGGAGTTTTGAAACTTTTGTGTGTGTGTGTTAGGCAAGCTTGTAACATTCTGACTTAACTAATAAGTAGAGACTTCAATCCACACTCTTGAGCCCCAGTGAGTTAAAGACCAGGAATTACCGTAATGTTTGCATATCTGCTTAGACTATGATCACTGATGATGTGTCATAGAGCCTTCCTTCAGAATTAAAATGTCTTTGCACACCCCAAGAAGCAAGAAGGCAGCAGATGGAACCTCCATGTTACAGATGAAGACAATGAGGCACATGAGATAAGGTGGTGGCTCTGAGCCGGCTGGGTCTGCACGGAGCTCTGCTTCCAAGATAAGCAATCTCATCTCCTAGCTGAAACTGTTTCATGCTGAAACCAGGAAATTCGATTTCTCAAACTGAGCTCTGCACTAATTACTAACATTTGCTGAGTTCCAAAGGTAGAAATCTAAACTGAATACAATGTCCCTTTGGAAGCCAGACGTTTTTTCATAGGCTCATACATTTGATTTTAAATTATAATTAAAATACAAACCTTGCCAGAACACAAAATTCTTTGATTCACAGTGACAGGCAGAAATGGGTGGGTGATGGCTAACCTGGTAATTAAAAAAAAAAAAAAAGAAGGCAATATCAGTGTTAAAGCTTCCATAAAAATTTTTACAATGTATATTAGTATATTAGTCACCTCTACTAAAAACAATTCATCCGTTTCTCTTCGTGAATTATTCTCAGAATGTATAAGTAAATCTTTAAGACTTCATGCCTTAAAAACACCGAGAACTTATAAAATTATTGGGGGAAATGATGCCCATAAGTGAAGTGAGTTTTAACTGTGTGAAAAGAAAATAAATCTCAGGACCACCTGCATCCCATTTTATTCCTAAAAAAAGATAGCTACAAAGATTTTTAAAAAGAGAGAGAGAAAAAAAGTTACCTCTCTACCTCACAATTTGCCCACAAGGAAATTCTTTGTGGGCCTCAAGATCTTTACCCTAAAACGGTTCTGTTGAATTACACCCTGGCAATGTATATTCATAGCTTATCTTCACAGGCACGGGACAAAGGATCAACAGAACTCAAACTCATCCTTCTGCTCACCTGAGACAAATGCATATCTGATTATTTCCTCTGCCCTGCTGTCTATGTGAAAATGCAGATTCACTGAGTCAGACTGAGGCATAAGTGACTTTTCTCTACCACCCTCACTGAGTCCAGTGGTGCTTACCTGTTCTGAGAAAAATCGGAATCCCTTGTCTTCTCTAATGCATTCATAGGTCTCCCCAAGGACTGGGTTGAATGGCTTACTTCCTGCTCTGAAATACGTGGAGCAGTATCCTGAAACTGCAAATGCAGCAACGAGAACCTGTTAAAACATTGAAGAAAAGGAAATCATATAGGAGAGACGACTGCTAGGTGTGCTTGTTCCTTATCCCTCTAGATTTTACATACCCCATGTTGATGGGTGTGAATTTGATGGCAGTTGCATTTTCTATTGTCTGCACAGAATCTTTATCAACTCGTGGGGAAAAAAATAAGTAAAATTAGGTTAAACTAGTCGCACGGAAACAAGCAGCCCACTGAGGTCAAGCATTCGTCATGCTTCCTTCCAATGTCATGAGAATCACAGAGTCCAAAGGTTCTGGAACCCAGTTTATCAGTTCTGCCATAGGCATAATCTTAGTCTCACGCACACGAGGATTGTAGCTGTGCGTGCTTTTCAGAGGGCAGGGCGTGTTTCCCACAGCCATATGGGGTAAAGGGTGAAGTATAAACCAAAGTTACTTTCTCGGACCTAAGTTCTTGAACAGATGGGCTATCTTGGCATTCAGGAAAAGCTGATCAGGTGAGGCAAGGTGTGCCTTCAACCTCTAAGGAGTATGAGACCTTCACATCTTAACTTTAGAAACACTCTAGACCAAGGATAAGGCACAAAAAGTGCAGCTTCCTGTGATGGTATCTGGGAGGTCTTGGCCTTGCCTGACTTATGCAAACAGGTCAATTCCTCTCTAACTCTGCAGTGAGAATGTTATGCAAATGCCAAATATATCATCATAATGAATTCTGGCTAACCCCAGGTCAGGGCTGGCAACCCCCTAAGGGGCGCTGCTCTGTTAGTTATTTATTACCATGCGCTCATATGGATCATCAGTTTCTGAAGCCTTGTCCAGGAGCTCGCTGTATTCCATTTCCTCACAGAGGTGCTGCAGGGTGTTGAGTGGCTCGTTTAGCTCCACAGGCATGGAGACTTTAGACAGGTCTTTGCCAATGTTGTTCCTCAAGATATTCCACAGGTTAATGTTACTAGTGTCAGGACAAGGAGCTGGCAGGCATGTTCGACGCCCATTTCGGAAGGCCCCTCCTGTCAGCTCCCCATTCAGGACTGGAAGAGGGAGAGTCACAGTGAATAATACTTTGCTGTTCTGATTTCACAAAATCAAGAAGGGAAATAACTTTCAAATAATTCTGATTGTGAGACATTTCATGAGCCTTCATTATATTCGTTCAAAAGTAAATGGAATCTTTCAGTATAAGCTTGCTAATAAATGCACAGAACAACAGTGTATAATTTTATAAATAAGGCATTAAATAGCCTCAAATATTCAAGACAAGACAGGCTAGGTTTTAAAAATTAAATATATTTAATAAGAAGGATTCAAGCTGTTGGACTGAGAAAGAGGAAAAACCTTTTCTCTTAACCATTTAACTAAGAGATTTTTCAACCATTTACCTCAAGAGATTATACAAAATAGAATGTATTAAACAATCAGCTGCCAAAAGAACAATTAGTGGAGGGTGGGGAAAAATGTCCATTCATTAAGTCGTCAGTGTTGCAATTTGGCATGTAGATAGAACAACCTGGAAGCTCAAATGATGCATACTTTGCCGAGAAATATTGTCTGCAACACTGGTGTTGTCTTCAGATATATTATCACTCACATCACTGATGTAAGACTCATCATCTGAAGCCTAAGGAAGGGAAGAACATACAAGGATCAGAATTCTTGTTCAGTTTTGCAAGTTCAGATAATCAAGTGATTAAAAATAACAAAACATTGTTCCAATGAGAAGCAGAGGTCCTGAGAGGGAAAAGTATTTGGCCTATGTGCAATGAACACTTGAGGGTCTTCATGAGCTAGGATATAGGATTGCTAGAAGGGAGCCTGGTCTTTAGCTCCTTGTCTTAGTAGAGGCAGGAGGGCAGGGGAGATCAGTAAAGAACCAGAAATATTTTAGTACAACACACCAAGAATGTTTAAGGTTGATGCAAGAATAATTGCAGTTTTTGCCATTACTTTCTTTTGCACCAACCCAACAGAAGGCCCTACGACTCTACCTGAGAGGACTCAAGAGAGGCTGCCCAAGGGAATAACATTTAAACTGGGTGTTAGAGAATGACTAGGAGTTGCCCAGTTGTTAGAAGGGATAGACGCACACAAAGACGGGAGATCTCACAAAGGTAAGGACCATGAGAGCAACATTTATCCCAGGAATGCAAGGATGTTGAGAATGGCTATGACAGAGGGTAGAGAAAAGAAGCAGAGGGCCCGACAGTCAAGGGCTTTTTATGCTAACATAAAGGGTTCATATGCAATCCTCAGAGTTAGTGAAACCAACAAATATGCATGGGATGTTGGAGTCAGATTTGGTTTTCAGGAAGATACTTGGCAGCTTTCCCTGGGGAGGCTAGATATAGGATACCGCGTAGATCTGGGTAAGAAATACAGCTTCAATTCAGATGGCCCTTGTGACGATGAGGAGAGATAAAAAGTGAAGCTACCCCTGCATGAGAAAAATGTGAAACCAAAATAAAACACAAATGAGCAAAAAAATGAAATTAAGGAACAATGTACATAATAAAGAGACTTAGAAGCAGAGCAGATCAGGAAAGAGGAATAAGAGAGCCATCAGCCAAATGGGAAAACTAATGTCTTTCCTGCAGGCAAGAAAGCTGCTGACACTCACTCCCTTCAAAATGCAAATAATGCTACACACACACACACACACACACACACACACA